GGGTGGCAAGCCACAAAATACAGAACTAGTTGGAAAGTGTCATCATAATAGTCCATGGCTATTCAGAAGCTATTGGATCATGGAGGTGAATCCACTCAAGAGTTTTAGAACTAAACCTGTGGAAAAGAGATGGGGTCTGCCCACTACAGCTGTGGCCCAAAAGGGTAAGTCTCCCACCCCAGCTGCCCCCTGCCCTTTCCTTTGCCTTCTATCTCCTGAATGCCATAACCCAAGTACCTTCTTTCCACCAGACTCTTCTACTATGCCCTTCCCACCCTGGAGCTGAGTAACTATGAACAAAACCTTTTAAAAAACATGAGCCAAAATAGACCACTTGTGTCAGAGTTCATTAGAGGAATAGATTTAATATAAATATATAATACAATATCTGGAGGATTTACAAAATAGGCTTATGATAGTTGTCTGTGGAGTCAAGGGTGGGAGGGTGCAAAAGGGCCATCTATGTGCCGTGGAGCCAGGGGATCCAACTGAAAGTTGAGAGACTGGAGCCCACTGCACGGTGGGTCCCAGGCAAGTCTCCAGGGAAAGTAGAATTGTCTGAGTGAGAAGGCTGAGGGGTCCAGGGTGGATGGCCAATGAGACAGGAGACAAATGTCCAATGTGATGGACTGGCCTGGCGATCCAGCAGAGAATGGTGAGAGAATGAACGTTTCTGTTTTAGACTATCATAGATGAGGAAATACGTTACATCAGCGCTAGGAAACTAATACAGTTTCTGACTTAAAAATCTGTTAAAGTATTTGTTGCTTATATATATGGCTTAAACATTATCTGGGCAAGTAACTCTTTGCTTAATTTGAAAAACAAATTTTACTTCCATAAAATGGCAGTAAGTTAATATTAATGCCTACTTATCTCTTGGTTCTGAATGAATGCTTCCCAGCCATAATAATTAAATATGGGCCTGTTTTGGCCATAGCCTTTTACAACTTAGCATCAGGCTCTTATGTAATTTCTTGTGCATTAATCCTGAAAATGCACTTATCTATTTCTCTATTCACAGCCAATGAAGACAATACAATGTATTGTCAACACAGAAATATAGACATAAATAAAACATTGTTGACTTAACCATTTACTTGTATTTATTTCGTGTGTGTGTGTGTGTGAGTGTGTGTGTGTTTTAGTACAGGGTCTACAACGTCTAACTACACAAATCATACTCATAGTGATCCTCCTGCTATCAGCTTCCCAAGCTCTGGGATTATAGGAGTGTGCCACTATGCTCGGTCTCATTTGTCTTCTCAGTGTGCCCTGGGGACAGGACTGGAACGGCATGCCAGGGATCGAACCCCGGTCCCAGCACCTAAAACAGGCATTTTAATCTGCTGAGCTATCTGGCTGGCCCTTATATTTCAATTTTTAGCAATTATCAGAAAATCACCACAAGCACTGCATATCTGTGACCTTCTACTAACTTTGTTATTCACCTCTACCTAATGGATCCTTTGGATAACAGTAAGAGAAGAATTTTGACCTTAAAAGCCAGAGAGAAGCATGGCCCCAGAGTACTTTGCTATGTCAATTAATGGCAATACTTAGGAAATTTTCTTTTTCTGTCCAAACAAACTTCAAATAACTGAAAGGCAATCACTGAAAGTCAGATTCTCAATTAAATCGGACAAAAAAGTGTTCTACTTGGTAAACTGAGGTGTTATGAGGTCAGAACTTGTCATCTCCTTCTTCCCAACCATAAACTCATGAACTCTGCTCTCCAGCTGTCATGTAGAGTTGGCTTCTGGAGGCATTACTGCCCTAGTTCTCCTACCACTCTACTGCCCAGCTCATTGCATGGTAGAGCCCAACGGCCTGTGGATGCAGAAAATGGCAAAACTTCTAATCATTCAACCATAGAAACACCCCAGGAATTTGTCTTACTTTAAGGAATGCTATTCCTTCTTATTCTCTTTTCTCAAGGTTGTGGCTACAAAACTCTAAAACATTTATGAAGAATGCAGCTTTTGGTGACCCATACGCCACTCCTCTCTACTCTGACTCTCATGTTCCACAGGCTCTTTTTTATTGGTGCCATCAATTGAACTCAGGACCTTGTACTTGCCAGGCAGATGCTGTGCCATTGAGCTATATCCCCAACTTCTACTGGATCTTAAAAAGGAAGACAGCTCAAACATTTTGTATGCATCTTCAGTATATTCCTTTAGTTTATATTCTTTTCTTCTTCGTGGGAGAAGAAATATCATAGTATAGTGAATAAGGGCTTTGAAAAAAAAGTGAAAAGACATAGGTTCAAATTCTGTCAATAACTGATTCTGGACTCTCAAGAAATTTATTTGTATTTCTATGAAACTCATTGTCATTATCTATAAAACAGGAACAATATCTATTAAGGATTGTTTTGGGACACTAAAAAGACAAAACATACGGAATATTTAGTGTCTTAATACAAGAAATAAAGAAAATCAGTGTCTATATTCTTTTGCTTGCTATTTACCCCTAGTCACATTTATATCAGACTGAAGTAAAGGGTGGCACATCCTGTATTTCAGTGAGGTTTAAATCCTGAATTTTAAAGCTAATGAAAGTGTTAATTTTGTTTCAGAGATTATAGTGTACCCCTGAAAGAGCACTGTCAGTATATGGGAAATGAATAATGTTTTATGCATCAAACAATAAAGAATTATAGTAGATTAAATATTAGCTTTAAAAATACACTGTATCTATACAAAAGACAAGAAAGACAAAAAGTTGAAAATAAATGTATTCAGTGAGATCCATAGCCATCTCTGATTTCAGTTGTCAGTATGTTTTTGATTTTGGTTTTATTTTACTGTGGAGTAGTGAAGATGTGAATTCTGTTCTGGAAATTGAACCAAGTGAGGCAGAATTTGCTCTTTTCTTTTGAGAAATATTACATATTATTGTGTTCCTTGAATAGTATAATTACTTCCACAATAACAGAAGACTGAACAGTCACAGGTGTTGAGTTTTTCATTGCAGACTGTGGGTGAAACCATCATTAAAAGCTTTGTTCTCAGTGTCACCCAAAGCGGGCATCACTGAGCTTTAACAGTTGCCAACACTTGAGTATATTCATAGAGCAAGACTCTTGCAAATATCTTGCAGCAACTTGGAGGAGGCTACTCATTTAAGAATACAACTTTCAGCAAGGCTTTCTCTCCTTTATCCACAGACCTCACAAGAGCAGCAGGTGTCAAGAACCACAGGAGCTCTTAAAATACATACTTAGTGATAAGTTTTCACTGTGCTAAGTCTCCTCTGAACACATGCTTTCCAAGACTTTATACAACATGCTGAGATGAGACTGGCTCCCCTTCTGCCTGTGCATGTCCTTCGTCTACCTCCCACACAGCTGTCAGACATCATACCTTATACCCCCTCTAACAGTGATCAGAGAAAAGCAGTAGAGCGAAGCACAACTCATGGTCTTGACCTAAGAAAGGGAAGACAGATCTTTAATTAGAGGAGAAGCAGGGTTTAGGGGAAAGGGAAGAGGGATGTCAGAAAAGCAGTTTATTATTATGTTTGAAGCATCTGTTAGGCATCTACATGGAGCTGTCAATTAAATAGTTCAATATGAAACAATAGAGTTCCTAGGAAAAGTCAGGACTGATGGCTATGTGTGATAAATTCTTTGATTCTTTTCTATTTGCCTATTCTTCCTTTTTGAAATGGTAATGTTTACCCCATGCCTTTGTATATTAAATGGATTTAACAGTAATTTTATTTTTAGTGTAGCTTGTAGCTAAGAGTGTTCCTTGAGTCTCAGAGACTTTGGGCTTAGGCTTTTTGACAATGAGTATTGAAACTGTTAATATTTTGGTGACTCTTAGAGATAGTTTAAATGCACTGTGTATGATGAGGTGAACATGAGCCTTTTGGTGGCCAGGGGCTTAGAGCTAATATGTCCCCTAAAAGTTCATATGTTTGCAGGTAGAGCCTGGAAGATGTTAGTCAATGGGGGAAGGGATGACCTAGAAGGGCACATTTTTTCCCTGGCTCTTTTCTTCTGTCTCTTCTTCTCAGCTGCCATAGAGTAAGAAAATTTCCTCTACCATATTCTTTTAGCGTGATCTTTAGGCTTTGAGGTTGACCAGTCATAGATGCCTCCCACCCAAATGAAGAGCTAAGTAAAATTCTCTCCCCTCCTTTAAATTTCAGGTATCAGTTCCTTTGCCTCATGTTCCAGACATCAACAAATGCAACGCATAATAGACTAATTGGATAGTAAAATGTTGTTATCAATCAGAAATGACAAATGAGGGCTAGGGAGGTAGCTTGGCAGTCTAAATACCTGCCTAGCAAGCACAAGGTTCCAAGTTCAATTGTGGATACTATAATCTGTGTCACCCTAAACCAAGGGTGGTCAGGCATACCTATAATCCCAGCACTGAGGAGGCTGAGGCACAAGGATCACTATGAGTCCAAACTGTGTAGTAAGACCCTGTGTCAACAAATAAAAAAAAAGAAAAAAAGACTAATAATATTGATTAAAGTATCCAAAATGTTAAGTACTCTGTGATAGGTTTAGTTTTATTTTTCTTATTTGAGTGGTGTATGATCAATGTAAATTTTTGTATAATTGGAACTTTGGGAAAACATAATATCTTAGGAAAAAATGCAATTTTTAAATTTTGCAGCTGGCATCTGGAAAGATAAAATAATTCATGCCCATAGAAGATCAGAAACGAAAATCTATTCTGGTGGCTTTTTTTTTTTTTTTCTGTTGAACACTTTGATAGAAATTAAGACACTGAAGAACCTAAATCTACTATATGCATCTCTTAAACTGTAATTATTTGTTCAACTGTTTTGTATATCCTAGAGCTTCACTTAGCTAATTACAAAGCCCAGCTGTGCCAGATGAACATACATAGTCAGCATGTTTCAAAATATTAAAGACATATATATATATAGTTAAATAAATATCAGCAACAGCATCAGAACAATTATCTTTACTAAATAAATATCAAATAAATGTCCATTTCATTTACATAGGGATGACTGTAAAAATTCAAGTATATCAGTTAATAAATGACAAGAAGAAAGGAAATTTTTCTTTTTCTTATCAGGTAAGCACAGAAAAACATACGTATCTGTTAAATTGTTTCAAAAAGTCTTTCTCTAAGTAGTGGGTCTGTTGAGACACAATATCATGGATAATAAAAGTTGTTCATCTTTTGACTTAAGAAAATTACAAGTATAATTTATCATGGCAAATAATGTTTCTCAACCACCTTTGATAAGAAATTTCCATTTTCTTAAATGATATGCCCTATATATGTATAAGAACAAATTTAAATGTTGAGGAAAGTATTTTTTAAAGTTTTAAATAAGCAATTAGTCAGCAAATAAAAAAAAATTTAACTGAAGGTCGGAACTCTGGAATATAGATACATGTGAAAGCCACTTTCTCTTGGATAGTTTCTATTGGAAGTTGGAGGCTTTCGACTTCTATTTCAAAGGATAATAAGAGTTTGATAAAAGGAATTAAAGCTTGAGGGTCTACTCAAGTTAAGTATCCTAATAAAACACACAGATAAGGTTGGCATGCTAAAGGATTACACCATCTGAACAGGGTAAATAAGAAATAAACCTTCTGTGCAGAAAAGGACAGCTCAGAAATGTCTTTAAATTGCTACTGAATGGAGAGGAATACATTATTCCTCAATGTTAGAAGAGAGCAACTGAGAAAATGGAGATAAAGAATAAGGTATTTCTTGATGCTAGAAGCAAGCAATTGAGAAAATGGAGGCAAGATAATTTGTGAAGACAAAATAGCGTAGATTTTTCCACAATTATTGAAAAGCATAAAACCAAGGACTTCAAGCAAATTAAAAAGTTCATACTTACAAATATGTTGAAGAAACTGTAGAACATAGAAAACAGGAGGTCTTAAATCAGTGAAGGAGAAATTGTCTGAAATGAAAATTGCAGTAAGTATAACAATGAACTTCACAATGAACAATATGAAAAAGGAAAGGGTAATAAAATCTTATTTTCTGCAAGCTTAGATATTCAATCACCTAGAAGTCTACAGTGACACTACCTTTCAGGTTGCATTTTCTCACATGAGTTACAGTGAGGCTATCTTTCAAAATCAAAATTAAAAAGAAGTATGTAATTAAAATAATACAAGTTGACTATGTATAAACAACGCCTAAAAAATTAAAATGTGAATTTCAAAACCATCTTAGTTGTTTTATTCAGGATACACCAGAGAGAGAAAGAATCAATATATTATAATAATAACAAAAGAAAGAGATAAATATATGAGGGAATACTTCGAGAAATTTGTTCATGTGCACTCATAGAAACTGAGACGTCTCATGTATAGGTTATCTGAAAGCAGGGATAACACTTATGTGGCTTAATTCAAGAACCAAGAAAGATGATGGTATAATTCTCATTTTGTGGCCAAAGAGATGAAATTCTGTAAGTAAAACATTGATATAAACCCAGAGATCAAAGACCAAAATCCCTGGAGTTTTGATGGTCAAAGACAAATGAAGCAGGGTTTGCCCACTATAGGGATGGGATAGGGGAGCAGAAGGCCACCCATACTGAGTTCACCCCTCCCCAACTCAGTCATCTCATATGCCAATTTCCTCTACAAACATCCTCACAAATACATCTGTAAGTAGTATTTTATAGCTATTTAGGTACCTTATTCCAGTCAAGCTGATACCTAAAACTTTATCTGTCTGTCTGTCTGTCTGTCTGTCTGTCTGTCTGTCTGTCTGTGTATCTATCTCTATCCATCTATCTATCATAGCTTTTGGTCAGATGTCTTTAATCAATCCTCTTTGAAAAGTAGAAGGCAAGGTCATTAACCGAGAAGGAAAGGAAAGCCAAAAGTCAAAGTTTCATGGCCTGCATAAAAACTTGAGATAATCACTGCACAAGAGATACTGAGTTAATAAGAGAATATATTTGAATAAAATTGGCTCAACAGTAAGTATGAATAAATTTATTCAGTATGTATAAATTTAATTTTTAACTTAATTATTTCTTTTTAAGATAATACTTCATTTCTAGTGAAACCTATGCTACCATCCATTCAATTTCTTCTGTGTCATTTTAGGCTATGTTTAAGTTCAATACTGAAGCAGATTCATGACTCTGGAATCTACACATCTCCTATTAAACAGGATATATACCTGGGGAGTCAATAAATATAGGCAAGAAAATGAATAAATGAATGCATGAAAATTGAGATGTTCATGTTGCAGCAAAGACAAAAATTTATCTACAAGCTTACTGACTACCATAAATAGTGAAACATCTGGCCAACCTTGCTACAAATTTCTTTCCTCTATTTTGTCTTCATTAAAATGAAATTATCTGGTTATAATGTATAAATTAAACTAAAAAAACATTAGATAAATTATAGATAACATTCAAAAATTCTGTCAGAGAGACAAGGATGAAAAGACATATGGATAATTCCTTTCTAGATAGATATAGTTTAGAAAATTCTTTCATCCCTGAAGAAAGAGAAATAGGAGTTGAAAAATAGATATGTCCAATTTGCAAGGAACCTGGAGAACCCAGGCTTAAGTGTAATGACACCCTCAGAGGATGTGGAGAATTAGAATCTAGAGAAACCTTAAATGTAATGAACTCTCACTAACCAGATTTCTCAAAGAGGTTGTGCTTAGTGAGGGCTGTTCATTATATATATATTATATATTATATATTATATATATATATATATTATATATATTATATATATATATGTGTGTGTGTGTGTGTGTGTGTAATTTGAGAATTCATTTGATGCTATCAACAGCAGAGAAAACAGAGCAGAGAAAAAGAGCAGTAAACTCAAAGAGGTAAATACAAGAAGTTATCTAAACAAAAGCATCAGAAGTACACACACACACACACACACATTTTATACATGCATAAACACATATAAATGCACATATATAGATGCAATGAAAAAAGAAAGTCAACAGGGCAAACAAAATATATAAATTATGGACAGATTATGTTGATGAATTTTTTAAAATTGGTAAGACAATATCTATACAAGTAAAAAAAAGGAGGAAGAGTTGGAGAAAGAAAAAAGGGGGATTAGAGAGAGAGAGAATGAAGAGAACAGAGGAAGAGGAGCAACCTAAAGTTGCCCTGAACACACTTGTGGCCAGTGGTTATCTAAAAAGGAGGAGAAGGAAGATGAAGGGGTGAGGGAAGGGTTGGGAAGGAGGAAACACACCTAGGAACATTATAATCAAATTTCTGAAAAACCAAAAGTGAGAAACATTCTCTAATTTGAACTTTTGACAGACAATAATGTCATTGCTGTAATTAACTCTGAGATGAATTTCTTATTAAAGTGAAAAGTTAAAGACATCTATTCCAAAAGAAAAATGGTAAGAACTGTTAACTCTCCACATTGACTAGTGAATCATACAGATCCTTTGAGATCACCAGATAATTGGCATCAATTTTAGAGGCACTAAAAATTTATATATATTCTAGAAATATATAAATATATAATATATTTACATGTGAATACATATATATATATATGATATATGAATGAAACTTTCAACCTAAAAGATACCTGGGATGAATTCATGTTCTCTAAAACCAAAGAAAGAATTTTAGGAAAAACAAAGGTTAAAAGCAGAATATATTAATTGGAGGAAAGAAAACTCCATCCAGAAGAAGGACAGAAGGAGCTACAAGTTGTTTGCCAAGAAGCTGCCTTTTCTGTGGATTTTTGTAGAGCAAAACCATGAATAAAGGCATATATAAGGTAGAAAACATGGTAACTCACAAGGTGGGCATGAGGTGGGACAAAAGTATGGCCAATCAATACAAGCACAGCTATTCAAGTAAAATTGATTAAATCCAGGACTGAATCAATCCTGGATGCTTATCTTTAGGGAGGTAAGCATTTGTTGGATCTTTTTTCTTAAGTTCTAGTGCACAGTGCAAATATTTCTCCTGCAGGTTCAAGGTCTTGTCTTCCAAATTGTCTACTTTGAAGGCCTAGTCCTGTGTGACTGCCTATATGTTTATCTCAGCTGCCTATAACAGTATTATTTTCATATATATTATATAAATGCATGTATAGTCATAATTTTCTTTTAAAAGCTCACTGAATATTTGAGAAAAAAATGTGATTTTGAGTTGATAATACTCATAGAATTATAATATAAGACAGTAATTACACAAAGGGCTTGGAAGGAAACAAAAAAATTACAATTACATTGTTTTATCTTTTTTCCTTTATGAAAAGATAAGTCAAGGGCTGGCCAGATAGCTCAGTGGACTAAAGTGCCTGCTTAGACAGGTGCAGGCACCAGGGTTTGATACCCAGTGTGCCATGCTGGCCCCACTCCCTGAGCACGCCGAGACATTGATTGAGACTGGTGCATGCCTGTAACCCCAGTACTCGGAAGGCTTAAAACAGCAGGGTCACTACAAGTCCAATCTGCACAGTGAGACCCTGTAGACCCTGTACTATAATAATAATAATAATAATAATAATAA